GGACTCCATCACTGCTATAACTATCTGTATTCCTCTACTATTTATTTTCAGAGGCCTGTTATTTAAGAAGTGGATGGCCAATCCTGCTTCTTAATCTGTCTTAATCTTAATAATTTTAGTAGAGAGTTCTACTAAAATTCTCCACCATGCCTAACCCTTATAGCATTTGACAAAGCTATACGTAGACAATAAGGCTATTGTGTGCAAAGGAACATTATATGGTGTGAAAGTAAGGAAGGAATGCATCAATGTTGTATTATCTCTCCACACCTATTCAGTCTGTTTGCTGAACAAATTATTTGAGAAGCTGAACTCTATGAACAGGAATGTGGCATCAGGATCAGAGGGAAACTCTGTGTTATGCAGATGATACAACTTTGCTTGCTGAAAGTGAGAAGGACTTGAAGTACTTGTTGCAGAAGATCAAACAATGCAGTCTTCAGTATGGATTACATCTCAATATAAAAAAAAGATCAAAGATTCTTACCACTGGACCAATAAGCAATGTCATGATAGATGGTGAAGAGATTGAAACTGTCAACAACTTCATCCTACTTGGTTCAATAATCAACACCCTTGGCACCAGCAGTAAGGGAATCAGGAATGTATTGCACTGGGAAAGCCTGCATTTAGGGACCTATCCAATTTATTGAGGAGTATTAATGACAGTTTGGGGACTAAGGTGCATATGATTCAGGCCATGATCTTTCTGATCACTTACTATGCATCTGAGAGCTGGACAATAAAAAAGGATGACAGAAGAAGAGCAGATGAAGGCCCTGTATCAGGTGGATTGTCATGATGACTGCCTCAATGTTTCAGGAAGTGTGAGGATGGCACAGGATAGGACAAAGTTCATATCTTGTGTTCATAGGGTTGCCCTGAATTACACTTGACTCAACAGCATCTAACATCAACAACCATCTGAGTTCCCATTATTTTTAAAAAACTAAAAAAAAAATCATTGCAACAAATCTTCATTTGTTTGTGAATTCTTTTTCTCTTTCTTGGTTTCCAATTTTGTATGTCATTTAACCCAACTAAATGTAATTTTTAGTAAACTTTTGCTTTAGTAATAGCAATATTTAAAAGTCTTCCATTTATTCTGATCTAAAAGCAATTTGATATTTTGTTTCTAGTATAATAAAATTATATTGTTATGAAAGATTATGATGGAAATGTTCTCTTAAAAGTGATTGAGGCCTTTATTGTAATAAAACAACCAAAGTTTGAGAACAAGTTGAAAAATTAAATGCTAGATAATTAAGCCAAGCAGATGGCTCCATAGTCAACAGTCTTGGCACCAGCAGCCAGGAAATTAAAAGGCGCATTGCCATGGGAAAGTCTGCTGTTAGGGACCTCTCCAAAGTGCTGAAGAGCAGTGGTGTCTCTCTGGAGACTAAGGTGCGTCTGATACCTGTTATGCATCAGAGAGTTGGACAATGACCAAGGAGGATAGAAGGAGAACTGATGCCTTTGAGCTGTGGTGCTGGAGAAGAGTACTGGGAATACCATGGACTGCTAGGAAAACAAATAGATTTGTCCTGGAGAGGGTTAAACCGGGTGGCTCCTTGGAGGCAAGGATTCTGAGGCTCCGTCTAACTTACTTCGGACATGTAGTGAGGAGAGACCGGTCCTTGGAGAGGGACATCATGCTTGGGAGGGTGGAGGGACGGCGCAGGAGAGGAAGGCCCTCTATGAGGTGGATTGATTCAGTGACTGGGATAATTGGGATGGGAGTGTCAGAGACAGTGCGATTGGCACAGGACAGAGCGGAGTTTAGGGCTGTTGTACATAGGGTCGCTATGAGTCGCAGGCGACTCGACGGCACATAACAACAACAACAACAACAACAGATAATTAAGCTGCATTAAAATACCTTCTTTATTCAACACACGCCTACACAATGACCTGCAAAGATAAGGTCATCAGCCCAAATCCACAGAAAAAAAGGAAATGACCTAGAGATAGCAATATACTGTTGTTGCTATTTACTATAGAGTTAGAAGAGACACATAGCTGACCCTCTGGTGGGTTTTCAGAGGCAGTTAATTGCACTACAGAAGATTGCCCATTCTTCTCCCTGGGTATAACTGGTGGCCTTGAACCTAGTGCCTTCAGGATTGCAGCGCAGCTTCTTGCGACTAGGCCACCAGAGCTCTCAGCAATATACTTAAGTATTAAAAAAAAAAATTAAAAAAACCACCTGCAGTGGAACAGATGAAGGAAAGAATTGCAACAGCCCAGAGGTATATTGCAAAGAGGACGGGGGGATGGGGAAAGAGATAATTAATTGTAAAACAGTGAATGAATATTTTAAAAAAATGGGGCGGCTGCGTCGGGCTGCAGGAAAAGATGGCGGTCTCCACAGGAGTGAAAGTTCCTCGTAATTTTCGTTTGTTGGAAGAACTTGAAGAAGGACAAAAAGGAGTAGGCGATAGCTGGGGCCTTGAAGATGATGAAGATATGACACTTACAAGGTGGACAGGAATGATTATTGGACCACCAAGGACAAATTATGAAAACAGAATATATAGCCTAAAAGTAGAATGTGGATCTAAATATCCAGAAGCTCCTCCATCAGTTAGATTTGTAACAAAAATATGAATGGAATAAATAATTCCAGTGGAACGGTGGATGCACGAAGCATACCAGTGTTAGCAAAATGGCAAAATTCATATAGCATTAAAGTTGTACTTCAAGAATTAAGACGTCTAATGATGTCCAAAAAAATATGAAGCTTCCACAACCACCAGAAGGACAGACATACAACAATTAATTTTAGTGAATCTCAAACTTGTCTTAACAACCCTCCACTCATGTTAATGTCTTGATTAAGTATCACAATGCAAAATACCCACACATTAAGTCAAAGAATTCCAGCTGGTAAACATGACCTGGACAGTTGTAAGAATACACTTAGTATATGTACACACATTATGTTTTCAGGTCACAGGAAGAAAAATGCAGCACATTCTTCTTACCAAGACACTTGTCATTTAAGCATAAACCTGGAGTACTCAAAATAGAACTCGGGTTTACAAGATGGAAGCTTGCTGGAAAAGTGTCAGGTTGCTGTGGAATGATGTATGTTTTTGAAAACCAATCTCCAGGAGGATACCATTAAGGGCATGCTTTATCCACCTTGCTTAGTGAGAGAGCTGCAGTTTAAATTCTTTAATGTAGCAGGTACAATGAATATTATTGTTAATTTTTGAATGCAGTGTGGGTGCTGACTAATATTAGTATCAAAAATATGTTCAGAATGGTTTTGATACCTGTATTTATAATAAAACAGTGGGGGAGTTGATGAATTTCTGTTAAAAGCCATTTCTGTTGTTACATAGAACAGACATGGCAAATATTTGTTTACAGTCTTTGTTTGACAAACCATGCATTTGATTTTAAGTGAAACC